CCTGCCGTACCCCCTGCCGTCCGTAACCGCCGTGCCGCCATACCGCCGCTCCTACAGTGCCGCGCCCGCCGTACCGTATGTCCCGCCGTCCGATGTCCTGCCTGCCGTCTGCTGCCGCCGCGCCGCCTTACCGCCGACCCTTACCGTGCCGCGCCGCCTTTACACACACACCTTACTTTCTGCTCGACCGAGTTTGCGCTGATGAGCGAACCGAGCCGCCGGGTGCCCCGCAGCGGCCTCGCTGGGCCAGAACGTCGGCCCCGAGTGCTCCGCAGCAGCCTCGCTGAGCCAGAACGTCGGCTCGCGAGGTGGGGTGCTAGTCTGGGACCCATACGTGGCAGTTCCCTTGCTCCAAGCGCTTGCGCTTCGGCGGTAGTGATCTAATTCTTCATTCATTGCTGAACTCACACAAAAGCCGGCCTGCGGTTGCCCCTCGTTGGCTCCTTTCCGAATCACCAGCACGAGCGCTTGACGCACCTTGGAGCACTTGCACCTTCCTGTCTCGTGAGGCGTGAATCCTTTAGGATTCTCGCCCGCTCTGCTGAGGGGAGGGGACGGTCGACTGGGCCGGTCGCTCGACCCGATTCTACTCTACTCTCAGTCTACCATTCATGGACAATAGTGTCTGTGACGGCGGTCACATTCACAGCGAGGTCAGTTCACAGCCGAGCAATCGATCCTGACACGCTCCACTTTCAGGGCTCGCCGCGGCTCGAGCAAGGTCAATGGCGATCGGCATCTTGCCAGCTGTGGCTTGCCCGTCTACCGCTACCGCGCCTTCAGATACAGTCGCAGTCGCAGAGAGGCTTGGCTTCGCTCAGACGTCATTCGTGCCTTGCTGGCGCGTGCGGTGCCATGCTTTCCTGCGGTTCTCTACGTTTATCGTCTTTGTCGGTGCGATTGCCGTGGTGGCGGTGGGTGCAGCCGAGCCGAGTGTCGTCGTTGACGGCACCGCGCTCGTCTTTCGACTGCCTCGCTTCCTCTACGGGCGCGGGGACGCGTGAGTCAGCGCACAGTCAAAGTAACTGGTGTGCGTTGAATGTCTGTTGTCGTCGAGGTTCTGCTGGGTCAGCTCACAGATGTGGTCCCGGCCGGCCTACGCGACAGCATCTGCGATATTGCTCGGCCGCTGACGCCTCGATGGTGGGTCGCCATTGCGAGGCCAACAATCCGGCGAGCTATGCCAGTGTCGTTACCGTTGCAGTGGTTTGGGGCGCCTCTCTGGCACTATCTTTGATGCCAGTGCGGTTCCCCAGACTTGGACAGATGCCAAGTGGCAGTCCATCCTCGCCTACCTCCGCAATGGAGGCAGGTAGTCGGCATATGGTCGAGTCTGGCGTCGATAGGACCCAGACCGATGCATTCTGCTTCAGTTCCTCGCGCGCTGTCTTGCAACCATCTTCAGCCCATCGACGGCCAGCACCCAGTGTCTGATTGACCCGCCGGCTGTGCGTCAGCAGCGGCTTCAGACGGGTCTGCGCCTGACGGGGATTTTGTATTGACGGGCTCTGCAGACAGCGCGTGGAAGCAACGACGCGAGGCCGTGGCCACAGTATGGACTGCTGTGGTCAGCGGGATGGTCGCCGTGGTTTGCCTTGCGGATCTATATGAAATATGCTCTGGATCCGCGCTCTGCTCGGTGCAGGGTGGTGAACCGCGAGCGTACTACTCGTAGCGACGCAACCGCTGCGGATCAGGAGGCGATGCCACCTCGAGCCTGTACGCTCGCTGAATTCAGCTGTGGTCCTGCCGGGAGCGGGGCCCGGCTGACTCTCGCGCTCGTGTAACTGGTCTCAGGGACCGAGCGTGGGAGACGAGAGTATCTTCAGCTGTTGGTCCTGCCGGGAGCAGAACCCAGCTGGCTCGTACTCGTGTTCCTGCCGGGAGCAGGGACCGGGTGCGAGTTGATACTTTCGAATGTCCGGATGGACAGTCAACCGTATTCGTGTTACTGCCGGGAGCAGCGGCCGGGTACGGGCGACATACATTCAGTGGGCCAGACGAGAGGTTGGCATCCCCGCCTTTGATTCCAGGGGCGGTCGAGCAGCAGCCTGCAGGTGGCGGGCTGCTGCCGACCGACCCTAGGCTCCCGTTCAGCTTTCTTCCGCGTGTCGCATGGCCGTGGATGGAGGTATGGGCGAGGGTCGACCTCACTCGCCGCCGTTAATTACGGCAGACGCGGTCGGCCCCGTCTCGACGCCCTCAAGGGCGGGGGACGGGCCACGACATGCCGCCCTCCGAGTAGTTATGGAGGTATGTGGCGCCGTCAACATGCTCCCGAGTAAGTCGGTGTGGCTGGGAGCGCCCCGCACGACTACCCGTCCTAAATGGGGATCGTGGTCTTCGTGTGGGGCAACAGGCGAGTGCGGCGCGCTCCACGGTCAATCTCCGACCCTTCGACCCGCGTGGCGTAGGGTCTGAGAGACGGCCGCCGAGGATGTCGGGCGGGTTCGGTTGCGGTCGGATGGACCTGTCACTGATGACACCGACTCGACTGGGGCGTTGCCGGAGGCGATGGCGGGAGGGCACTCGATGGGCCCGCCATCGACCACTGATAGGAGATTGGCGCGTGGGCCCATGGTTGTTGGGCGCGTGGGCCGAGGTGGGTTGGGCGCGTGGGCCCAAAGGGTGGACGAGGGATGGCCCAAGGCTGGCCGAGATAGGCCGA